TTGTACTTCCATAGACGCTCTTTGAATTCTTTGTCGTCTACAACATTTATTAACAATCGTTTGTTTTATCTCGTGAGCAGTTACTTTCCAAAAAGACTTGCGAAAGTGATCTGAAATGTTATTGGACAAGTTTTACAGCCATTTCGATGTTTGCTTGCTTAATTTAAGGCTCTGAAGATTACCGGAAGACATTTTATAAACTGTGGCATCGTTTGCGAGGAATGCTTTATTAAGAGCGGCAATGTTGTTTACGTAGAATAATAGGATGACCTGTAAATTTATCGAACACACTTGATGTCTCGCCGGTCAGTTCATATATCTCTCGAACTCATTCCATCTGAAAAGAAAAAAAAAGATGTTATTTTAAAAGTTGATTATTTCCGTGAAGTACCAAAGCCTATAGTCCAGAAATCAGAATTGAAGCTATATATTCATCAATAAATTTGCAGCGTAGTTATTCGTATCAGAGTTTTTTTTTTGGTTCTTGACAAAATGATAGAAGTTTCTCATAGTCACGAATCTATGGAACAACGAAACGGACATTTGAACAATGATGTAACGACCCTGCGTCTCTTTGTCTCGTCGACTCTGCGGCTAGAAACCAAAGGTTACGACCTAACATGGCGTCTGTCTCTTCAATCCGACAAAACTGACGATTTTTGCTCGCTTGTCCTTGATCGTTTTTAGTGACAGTCCACTCAGTAGAAAATAAAAAAAAACAAAATGTTCTACTATGGTATGATGTCTACCGAGGCATTTGCGACCTGTCGTAAATGAGGATGCACACTACCAAACAACCCATTTCCGGCTTACAGCAATTAATTCCTCAAACTACACACAGAGCTATTTTAACCTAAATAGTGGCGTATTATCTAATTTGTATTCAGAAAAGAGGTATTTAAGTAATTCCATTATTAAATGTGTGAAATTTTAGAATTAGTGTTTTGTTCATGAAATTCCGATGAGTACTACAATAATTTTTACTAGAAAGTCACGTAATACTATGACTGTCAAGTATAATGTTTACACTAGAAACTGTTGATTATGCCCATTTAATGGTTTTTAACATATTTCATACTTCTAACATTTGGCAATTATCATAGTATAGTAGAAAATGAATAGTAGATATCATACTATAATAGAAAATGGACGGTATATGTCATACTATAGTAGAAAATGAATGGTGTATATCATACTAAAGTAATGAATGGATGGTAGATATCATACCGTGGTAGAAAATGGGTGGTAGATATACTATAGTTAACAATTGATGGTAGATATCACACTATAGTTAATTGATGATAGATATCATGCTATAGGTAACAATTAATGGTAGATATCATACTATAGTAGAAAATGGGTGGTAGATATCATACTATAGGTAATTGATGGTAGATATTATTCTATAGTAAAAAATGGGTGGTAGATATCATACTATAGTAGAAAATGGGTGGTAGATATCATACTATAGGTAATTGATGGTAGATATCATACTAGTAAAAATTGATGGTAGATATCATACTATAGTAGAAGATGTATGGTGTATGTCATACTATAGTATCACCAAAGAAAATTTATTTTTCACTTGTAAAATTAATTATGTGCACTCATCATCAATTCAGATATATTTCCGGCTTTCACCATGATTCTCTCTTTCGACTAATCTGATGCATATTTGCTTTGACCGAATAGGTCACCATTTCCCAAAATTGCATTGCACTTCTATGAATACTCTGACTTCAAGTTCCAGTCTTTTTTCTTCCATCCTCTGTAAGGAGAATTCTTTGTCTTGTTCTGTTCTTTTCTGACCTAATTTATTTGTCTTTATCTGATCTACTCTTGTACTTCTGCTGGTCCTTCATGGCCGATTTCTGTTGTCTATTTGGTCTGAACCCTTACGACCTATTTTAGACTTGTACTTCTTCTACGGTGGAGTAATGGTTAGTGGCTTCGATTGAGGAATCGGAGAGCCGATTTCGAATTCCAGTCGTATCCATTACATTCACTTACGTGCTAATACCCTTGGGAAAGGTATGAATCCTCTTCTTCTTCTTCTCCCACCCAGCAATGGATGAATAGCAGGACAGACCGGGCAGCTCGGATTGAGGAATCGGAGAGCCGAGTTCGAATTCCAGTCGAATCCATTACATTCACTTACGTGCTAATACCCTTGGGAAAGGTATGAATCCTCTTCTTCTTCTCCCACCCAGCAATGGATGAATAGCAGGACAGACCGGGCAGCTTGGATTGAGGAATCGGAGAGCCGAGTTCGAATTCCAGTCGAATCCATTACATTCACTTACGTGCTAATACCCTTGAGAAAGATATGAATCCTCTTCTTCTTCTCCCACCCAGCAATGGATGAATAGCAGGACAGACCGGGCAGATCGGATTGAGGAATCGGAGAGCCGAGTTCGAATTCCAGTCGAATCCATCACATTCACTTACGTGCTAATACCCTTGGGAAAGGTATGAATCTTTTTCTTCTCTCACCAGCTATGGGCAAATAGCATGACAGACCGGGTTCTTATAGCCTTGAATGGCAATTGGTCTACAGCAGAAAGAAATGGCAACCTACTGCCGGGAAAAAATCTGACTCGTCAGTCATGTATCGAAAGATATATGATCGCCTAAGCGTGTATCACGCATGGCACATAATTGACTGACTTGTTTTACCCCCACCCCCTACGACCACTTTTTGTCATGTACTTGTCCTGCTCCCTTATGACCTCTTCTTGAACATGTTATAATCCCCTACGCTTTCCTTTTGAGAGAGAGAGAGAGAGAGAGAGAGAGAGAGAGAGAGAGAGAAAGAGAGAGAGAAAGAGAGAGAGAGCGTTTGTGTATATATGTCTAAAATATTGAAGAGACAGCGAGGTTTCTAGATAAGTATGAACAGACTTAATGATAGATAGATAGATAGATAGATAGATAGATAGATAGATAGATAGGTGAAGAAACTGGGATAGATAGATAGATAGATAGATAGATAGATAGATAGATAGATAGATAGATAGATGAAGAAACTGGGATAGATAGAAAGGTAGATAGATGGAAAAGATAAATAGATATATAGGTAGAAAAGATAGATAGATAGATAGATAGATAGATAGATAGATAGATAACAGACGGAAAAGATAGATAGATAGATAGATAGATAGATAGATAGATAGATAGATAGATATAAAGAAGTTGGGGTAGATAGAACCATCAATAGAATAGTAAGTTTTAAAAAGAGGGAAAATTAGGGAGGAAAACTGGGTCAGGAGGCCACAACAGCAAAAGGGGTCATCTTTTCAAATCAGTGTTAAATACATTCTTATTGTTCAAATTAGAATCCAGTAGTGTTGTAAAAACCTCGGAGAATTCCAGTAAGATATCTTTAATCATTTCTAAGATCCAATGGTTCAAAGCTTAATCTAACAAATGGACAATTTTGCTGTTACACGATTTGGACAATTATGCTGTTACACCCACTATATGCGTATGCGCGTCTACGTATATACATACAAACTAAGGAAATAAAAGGGAGATTTTTTTTGCAAAATACTTAACTAGATTAACAGATTTTTACAAATGCAACGCAATCAGTCCACGCCAAGGGTCCCATCCGTACTGCCTTGTGTCAGACTAAGTTAAAATGAATAAAACCAAACAATACATACAGTTAAAGGGTGAAAATATGGCGAGAAAGCGAAAAGGAAATTGAACAATATTTTTTATTTTGAAGGCTAGCATGTGGTAACAAACCTCACCAAATTGCCACAACGCATGTGGACCCATTTTATGGACCCCTGTAAATGCTAGACTGAATTTATAGCTAAAATTTAAATCGGAAGCAGAATGTTTTTCTCTGAAAAACGGAAACGATTCCTCTAAATATAATCCTGGTATCGTTTACATGGCCCACTTGTGTGACTTCCGTTAATTCGGCCAATTCCACGAACGTTTTTATTCACCGATTTCAAAGAAGAATTTTCTTCTATTTTATATCAGTTATTTTTTTTTATCGGTATTTTTTTTTTCGTTTCTTTCCTTCTGTTATTTCTTTATTTACCACCTTTTTTTTGCCGGTTGACTACTTTTTCTTTTCTTTTTTTTTTACTATTTCTTTTTATACATTTAAAGAAATAAAGAAATTTCTTAACATCGATTACACTTTCTTTTATTCTGTCACTTTTCTCTCTCTGTTTTACCCTCTCCTTTGTTATTTATTTCTTTTTATTTCTTCTTCTTCGTTTTTCTTCATTCTTTCAGAAACCTTCTCCATTCTTTTTTCATTTTCTTTATAGCGGGTTTGTCTTTTTTTCACGCTGGCACTTAGCTTTTGATTTTTCACTTTCATTCTTTCTTCTCTTTAACTGGATTTGTTTTTCGCTTAATGTATTTTCTTTCTTTTCTGTGATGTATTTCCGTTTCATTCATTCCTTCTGTCTTACCATTTTCCTTTCTTTCTTTCTTTCTTTCTTTCTTTCTTTCTTTCTTTCTTTCTTTCTTTCTTTCTTTACGGCTTTATTCATTCTCTCACCGTTTTATCCCCACGTTTATCGTTCTTCAATTTTTCCTTCTTTTCTGTTTCTATATTTTCTTTTTCTCTTCCAGGTTGCCATAGAAATTACTTTCATTTTGATTTTTCTCTTTCTTTCTTTCTTTCTTTCTTTCTTTCTTTCTTTTGTTTATTTGGATTTCCTTTTCTCTTAATGTATTTTCTTCATTTTTTGTTTCTTTTTTCTTTTCATTCATTCCTTCTCTCTTATTTCTACATTATCAATTCTTTCTATTTTTTTTATTCATTATTTCTTTTTTTCTTTCCAAATTTATTCGATCTTTTGCATTTTTCTTTCTTTTTAATCTTTCTTTAGTTAATCTTCTTACCTCTTTGTCAGTGTTCTTTCTTTGTGACCATTTTCTTTTTTTCTTTCAGGTTGCACAGGAATTGTTTTAATTTTGACTTTTCTCTTTCATTCTTTCTTTCTTTAAATTTGTAGTATTTTATCTTAATGTATTTTTCTTTTTCATTCTTTCTTTCTTTCTTTCTTTCATTCATTCATTCTTTCTTTCTTTCTTTCTTTCTTTTACTACTGTTTTTACTCTTACTTACGACAGTTCATCTTCTTTTCTTTTCTTTGTATTCTTTCTAATTTTACTTCCTTTTTTTTCCTAGCGTTTACAACATTGCTTCTGTTTTTTCTTTATTTCTTTCTACAGTTTTCATCTTTGTTTCATTGTTTCTTTATTTCTTTTTCAGTTCTTCCTTCGTTTTTGCCATCGTTTTCTTTCTTACTTTACACCGTCTTTACCGTTTTTGATCCATTCTTTCTTTCTTTCTTTCTTTCTTTCTTTCTTTCTTTATAAAGGTTTTTCTTTTTTATTTCCCTTTAATATACAAATTAATTCTTTTCTCTCTCTCTCTTTCGTCTGTTTAATTTGCTTTCCTTCAATCTTAATGTCTTTCTTTCATTTTTTCTTTCCCCTTTCCTTTACTTTGTTCTGTTCTCAATTTTTCGTTTTTTTCGTTCCTTCTTTCGTTCGTTCGTTCACCATTTTCTTCCTTTTTCCATTCTCAATTTTTCTTCCCAATTTATCAGCCATTTTCTTCATTTCTTTTTCTTTCTTTCCTTTCTTTTCTTTTCCATTTCCCATTCCCAACCTTCTTTCCTCCTTTCTCTCAAATCTCTTTCCTTTCATCCTTCCTTCTTTTTTCTTCTCTCTCTCCTTTTGCATTTTTACATTTTTTTTATTCACTTCGTTGTCGTCTCTTTTATCCTATAACAATTTTCTTTTCTTTTATTTCACTTTTATACTTTTTATTTCTTTCTTTCTTTCTTTCTTTCTTTTTTTCTTTCTTTCTTTCTTTCCTTCCTTGTTTCTTGCCTTCCTTCCGATTCATATCTTCTACACTTCTTTCCTTCCTTCCTTCCTTCCTTCCTTCCTTCCATCTTTCCTTCTTTTCCTTCCTTCCCTCCTTCCTTCCTTCTATCTTTCGTTCCTCCGTTCGTTCCTTCCTTCTTTTTAGCCTTCCTTCCGTCCTTCCTTCTTTCTTTCTTTCTTCCTTCCTTCCTTCCTTCCTTCCTTCTATCTTTCCTTCCTTCCCTTCCTTCTCTTCTTCTTCCTTCTATCTTTCGTCCCTTCGTTCCTTCGTTCCTTCTTTCTATCTTTCCTTTCTTCCTTCCTTGATTCTTTCATTTCTTCCTTCTTTCCTTCCTTCCTTCTTTCTTTCTTTCTTTCTTTTATTCCTTCTATGTTTCTTGCCTTCCTTCTTATTCATACCTTCTACATTTCTTTCCTTTCCTTCCTTCCTTCCTTCCTTCCTTGTTTCTTGCCTTCCTTCCTATTCATAACTTCTACATTTCCTTCCTTTCCTTCCTTTCCTTCCTTCTTTCCTTCTATCTTTCCTTCCATTCCTTCCTTCTCTCCTCCCTTCCTTCTATCTTTCGTTCCTCCGTTCCTTCCTTCTTTCTTTCTATCTTTCCTTCCTTCCTTCTATCTTTCGTTCCTTCGTTCTTTCCTTCTTTCTTTCTATCTTTCCTCCCTTCCTACATTCCTTCCTTCCTTCCTTCCTTCCTTCCTTCTTTCTTTCTTTCCTTCCTTCCTTCCTTGTTTCTTGCTTTCCTTCCTATTCATACCTTCAACACTTCCGTCCTTCCGTCCTTCCTTCCTTCCTGCATTCCTTCCTTCCTTTCTTCCTTCATTCATTTCTTCCTTCCTTGTTTCTTGACTTCCTTCCGGATTATTTCTTTTCCTTCTCTTCCTTTCTTCTTTCGCCTTTTTCTCCCACTTCAATTTTCTTTCACTGATTGCCCATCCTTTCTTTTTTTTTTTTTATCTTTCCTCCCTTTTCTCGTTCTTTTATTTCTTCTTCTTTTTATTTTATACTCCTTTTATTTCTTTTGTTGCCCTTCATTTGTTTTCCCTTTCCTTTCATTTTCATCTTTTCCTAATCCTTCTTTATCTTCCTACCCCCCCCCCCCGCTTCTCCCCACCAACTTTTCTCCGTCCTCGGGCAAGCGGGGAAATATATATAATTCGTTCACAAAACCGTTTATTTCGCATGCCTCAAAACACACTGTATACTCGAATAAAAACGGCCTGGTTCGTAATGAAGCCGTATAATGCGTCATTCCCGCCCCACGATTTGCGCCCAATATTTTTTTTTCGTTCTTTGTAACGGGTTGCGCTCTGTCTCAGGGGCGGCAATGAAAACCGTGTGCAGATCAGCGCCGCTCTTTTCATCTTCGAAACCGCTGCCTCGTAGAGTTATAAATAATATTTCATTACAGGACAAGAATACCAACCTTCCCTTGCGCAATAAGCCGAACTTAGAGCAGTGGAGGGTAGGGAATGGCGTTTGTAAGATAAGAAAAAGAAAAAAGGAAAGCACTATAGTTAATCTTTGGGAAATTTGTAAGAAGTCTTGTAACATCTAGAATGATCGCATGATATACAAACTACTTTGACAAATATGACATGAATTAAAAAAAAAAAAACAACAAGATATATAATCTCACGTCTGTAACTGCCATTATTTTTTTAAAGGGCATAATCAACACAGGCTGCGGTACAAAATAGTAAATGGGTGATATGCTAATTTGGCATAGCTATATCTATGCATTTTACTTCCGCTCTTCATCTATGGGTAAATAGCAGGACAGACCAGGTTCTATAGCCTTTGATGGCAACTGGTCTACCGCAGAAAGAAATGGCAACCCACTGCGGGAAAAAAAATCTGCTTCGTCAGTCATATATCGAAAGATATATGATCGCCTAAGCGTAGGGAAATAACTGACTGATATTAAAAAAAAAGAATCGGGGGACACCATTGTATAGGAAAAAAAAGGCCCGTCAAAAGCTTCACATAGACATATACTGTATATACTCGCGTATCATGCGACTTTTGAAAACCGAATTTTGAAGTTAATTTTAAGAGGGTCGCATTCTACAGGAGATCTAAAATTAGCGTATGTACTACTGGCCCCTGGTTACGCCTTTGACCAAACTTTATCTAGTCAAAAAGTACAACTGCTCTACACGCAAGCCACCAATCTACCATTGGGTGACATGTCACAAGCGTTTACCGCTGGTAGCCCGCTGTCGGACCGCCGGCGTGTTCGTCTCGGCAATGCTATCACTGGTGGACCGCTAGAGGCCCACCCACCGGTGGCTGCCACCACAGCACCGCTGGCGTGTTCGTCTCGGCTATGTTATCACTGGTGAACCGCTAGAGGCCCACACACCGGTGGCTGCCACCAGAGCACCGCTGGCGTGTTCGTTTCGGCTATGTTATCACTGGTGAACCGCTAGAGGCCCACCAACCGCCGGCTGCCACCACAGCACCGCTGGCGTGTTCGTCTCGGCTATGTTATCACTGGTGAACCGCTAGAGGCCCACCCACCGGTGGCTGCCATCACAGCACCGCTGGCGTGTTCGTCTCGGCTATGTTATCACTGGTGAACCGCTAGAGGCTTCCCAACCTGTGGCCAACAGGTGGCGTTGGCATCGGCTGACCACCAGCGGTCTACTAGCGTCTTGTGTGTAGGGATAAAAAAAAAAAAAAACAAGAAAAAAAAAATGATTTTGATAAAACTGATGTTATACTTAACTGTACCCAACGATAACGCATGTAATAGTCACATATTAGTATCGCATTATAAAATAGAAACATAGTAAATATGCATCTTTTCCATGGTTTACATTTATAAGATGTGTAGCTGTTTCTATTTACGCAACGAGTATAGCCTCTTTTAACTTATTTAACTCGAAGAGGGAGAGGAATAGTGGTTAGTCTATTGTAATTTGGTTTCTCAAAAAAGGAACTTGCATCATACACGAGATACGTGATGAAATATTTTTTTATGAGTGAAAATTTAGGTGTCGCACGATACGCGAGCTGACGCGTGACACGAGTATATATGGCCTATAGACTGACCGTTGATTTCTGGCCAAGAGTTCAGTTATTTATTATAATATTTTTAAATAATTTGTCCCAACAGAATATAAGCAGTTATGATTATCTACAGTCCCATTTTTTTTATATCTCTAAACTTTTTTAAAGCATTTCACCCCAAGCATGGTGGAAGTGCCACGAGCGTGAAAGGGGAGTTACAGAGAGGAAAGTAAGAGTAAAGAGGAAAGGTTTGAGGAAAGGATAAAGAGGAGGACGGGGGATCAATATGAAGGCATCACAATATGTCGTTTGAGATTGCATTTAAATTTGTGAAGATTATACTTAGGAAAGCAAGTAAGAGGAAGGGAGTTCCACTGTTGGGAAGTGTTAGAGAAGAAGCTATTGGACTAGAAGCAGCTGTTTTGGCAGTAAAAGGGTGAGAGCGAGAAAACAGCCTAATAGCACGCTTAAATTCATGCAGTTGGGGCACCAGTGAAAATAGCTCATCAGAGCAGTTGCCATGAAAATATTTGTAGAAAAGACAGAGAGAAGGCGCATCACGACTGTGAGAAAGTGTCGGGAGTCAAGATGCCAGGTCAGGACCTATCACATTGAAAATCCGTCTTTGGATTCTGTAGAGAACGTCGAGATGAACATCCGGGTCACCAGACCATATATGACAACAGTATTCAATGCAAGGATAAATGGTAGATTTGTCGAGTTGAAGGATCGACTCAGACGAGGAAAATCTTCTGGCACGGCAAAGAGAACCAACATTCCTTGCGCAAAAGTTCTAGATATAGACGGGAGTACTTTCTAGCTGGTTTCGACATGTTTATTATTTTTTAAAGGTTGGCTTGTTAAATTTAACGCCTCCAAAACTAAACATCTCTCTGTTAATCATCTGAGCGACCCCTCTCTGCCTTCCATCAGCATGGCTGATGCTAACCTCCAAGAAAGTGACTCGTTGCGCGCTCTCGGCCTAACGTCCCCATCTGACATGAGGTGGAAAGACTATATTGAATCCATTGCTAGGTCAGCTACTGAGAAGGTTGGTTCTCTGTGTCGTGCAATACATTTTTTTCTCTCCAGAATCTATCTTACATATCTATAAGTCTGTCATTCGTCCATGCTTAGAATATTGCTGCCACATATTGTCCGGTGCCCCTGCTATTTACCTTGAGCTCCTTGATAAACTCCAAAGAGGAATCAGTAATACTGGCCCAGATCTGGCGTTATGGATTCAGTCACTTTCTCACCGCCGTAAAATTGCCTCCCTGTGACTTTTCTGCAAATACTTTCATGGTAACTGTTTCAATGAGGTCTTTGCTATGGTACATAGACTTTGTCAATTTAAGTGCAGGACTATACTGACGACGAGGACTCATCAATTTCAATTGGCTAGATGCAACCGTAAATTCTATGTTAACAGTTTCCTTTCTCGCACTTCTCGCTTGTAGAACTCTCCAAGCTTTCCAGTTAACTATAATCCTTAAAAAATTAAATGTAGTGCCAATCGCTATCTGTTGCTCTGATTACACTTCATTTTATTTCTGCTCGTTAGTAATGTTTCTGTTTTCTAATTCTGCCACACCCTGTAACAATTTGTGTCTTAGTGGCTTTACTGCCTTGCTTATGGTGAACTCGATTAAAAAACATCGGATTTTTTCTTCTCGTAGACTAGTTTCCAGGCAGGCTCGATTTCCCTGTCAACCCTGAATTCACATCTTTCTGTGGATATCATAGACTTAATATATGAGCAAATAATAAATGCCAAGCAAGTAGAATAATTTAATTGAATTTAAGAAAATTCAGTAACAGGAAATTCGGTAAATTTGACAAAGTAGGAAATTTCGTTAACTATGAAATAAAACTCGAAGCACCAGTATTGTTCAACGGCGTTACTATAGTTGTGTCTGCGATTACAAAGTCTCTACTACAACGAGTAAGAAAAATGTCACAACAAGTAGTTTTGGCATTACAAAAATGGCAACAAAGGTTCTTTGACATCACTAAACTAACAAAAATATTTTCTAGCTTAAAATAACCTGCAAATGGTTGATAATTCTTAAATCAATCAAAACACTGCACTTTAATTGCCCGACTGCGCATGACACAACACCACTATACATGCCTGCAAAACAGTTCCTCTTTCTCATTTACTTGGCCTTCTATCTAATCTATACTATTCGGATCTGCATTTCTAGTCTGTACTATTTCTCAACTCTATTCACTATACTATGTCTCCATTCGGATCACTATACGGATTACTATTCGACCGAGTATTATCAAGTAAGTACTATTATTGCGAATGTTATTCAAAGGCGTCTGACACTAGTAACGTTCAAAGGCGTTACTATAGTTGTAATCTGCGATTACAAAGTCTCTACTACAACGAGCATTACAAAAGTGACAACGAGTATTCGTTGGCATTACAAAAGTGACTGCGAGTGTTCGTTGGCGTCACAAAAACAGTATTGCCTTCTAGCAGGCATTCCAGGTGCACACAAAAAAAATGAACATTTCCACGGCATCAAGGTACGATGGTGCCACCTGTCATTACCTTTGCATACTACCAACCTGTGGCTTCTGAAGCCTATGCGACCAAAGCAGTCGTCACAAGATTCTCTCTTCGTTCCTATCCTCTTTCTGTCTCAGAACATTTTCAGATCATGAGTAAAAATCTATAAGACACTTCGACGTGGTGCAATGGTTAGCAATGTTGTCTAACTAGAACAATTATAACTAACGAGTGAGTTCGATCCTCACTGGGTACCCATAATTTGGAACTTGAGTCACATCTAAACTACGCTTAGATTTTTTCTATATTATTTTTTTTACTCTATTACTATACGATTCGCTATTCTCTAAACTAATCACTACACGGATTACTGTTCGTGAGAGGATTATCGAGCAAGTACTATTACTGCAAGTGATATTCGAAGGCGTCTGACGCCAGTATTGTTCAACGGCGTTACTATAGTTGTATCTGAGATTATAAAATCGCTACTACAACGAGCATTACGAAAGTAGCAACGACCATTCGTTGGTATCATAAAAGTGGCAACGAGTGTTCGTTGACATCACAGGACATTGTGGAGAGCCATGATCGTTTACATTCTGAAGTGACATGGAACATAGAAGAAGAAGTATGTAACAAATTTGGGCAGAATATGAACTAAGCTCGTCGAATTCGGTTTTCGTGATGATTAGGTACAAAATAGCATAGTATTTTTTTAGGTTTACAAAGCATATATATATATATATATTTGGTTACTTTGAACTTAATATGATGAGGTAGGAGTCTTACTATGTCATTAGAAATAATACTAAACACTTGGCAGTGGCTTGTGTTTTGGTTTAAACAGTATCAGATCGGTGTGAGTTACGGGTCATGCATGATACACGCTTAGGCGATCATGTATCTTTCGATACATAACTGACAAAGCAGCAGGTTGCAATTTATTTCCGCAGTAGACCAGTTGCCATCCAAGGCTACAGAAGCCGTTACTATTTACCCATAGTGGGAAAAGAAGAAGATTCATACCTTTCCCAAGTGTATTAGCACATAAGTGAATGTAATGGATCCGACTGGAATTCGAACTCGGCTCTCCAGTTCCTAAATCCGAGCCTCTATCCATTACTCTATGTCAGATCAGTGTAGCTTATATTATTAATTTTGAACTTGAATGTTAATAAATTTTTCTATAGTACTGTATGCAATAAGCGACAATTTTACCAGAGATTATGATTTGAAAGAATGCCGTAAACAAGAGCAAAATAAATGTAATGCCTTTCGCTGACATATTTTGCCAATTTTGTAAAGATTCTTGTCGTGTGCAGTTAATTTCACAAAGTTGAAGACGTACACACTTGAGGAAGAGAAACAGCTGACGTCAATATTAAATTCAACGCGTTTAATCTCCAGAGTGATCCAAAAATCTTGTCACCCTACATAATACAATTTTCCTATTTCAGATGGCAGGCATAAGCTCCTACAGTTTGGAAAAGAGGCTTCTTGAAAGTGTATGGAACCATGATCGTATGCAATCTGGCAAGAACATGGAGGATGTACGACATGACTTTGTATTACTGTATTACTTGTTCTATTGTTCTCATTAGATTTTCGTAGGGTGTGATAAGATTTTCGGACCATCCTGTACAATAGGTCAAAAGAATGCTAGGAATTATAATTTATATTTGCAGACTTAACCTTTAGAACATTTTCCAAGAATCATTTGGATTTCACAGGTTCTGTATTCCGTTAACGTCTGAAAGGGCGGCTTCAATAAACGTCTGGCTGTTACGGTTGTCAGTTATAAAAGAGGCAATTTTCAAGATCGAGTTTACCGCGTGGTCAAAAAAAGTGATACTGACTGGACAGCAGTTAGCCATTCAGAGTCCCCGGGGAAGGCACCGTAGTTCTTTTCAACCCAAGTACTTTCGATCTCCTTCGAGTTCATCCCCGGTCTTGAATAGCGAAAACAAACCTACTATAAGTGTGATCCGTTGTGATGGTGTTTTGTTTTAAAACTCGTGAACGCGCTCTGTCATAATTATTTTAAAATTAACCGTTGCAGCTCGGATTTCTTTTGTAAACAAACGGCCACAATATAAGGGAGCTAATCAGAGATGCTAAAAAAAGAACATGGTGTTAAAAGTTTGGTAAATGCATTTTAAACATTGTTACTACAAATGTATTAAATTTTGTTAGGTTTTGGCTTGATATAAAGGGCTTCCAGAATTTGAAGGTTTTCTTTATTATTTACATGATGTAGTATATATATTATCCGATATATATATATATATATATATATATATATATATATATATATATATATATATATATGTATTATATATATATATATATATATATATATATATATATAATCCTGTATATAAATATATATATATAATCCTATATATATATATATATATATATATATATATATATATATATATATATATATATATATGCATTATCCTGTATATATATATATATATATATATATATATATATATATATAAGTAGATATAAAGATCAGAACGATGATAAGAAAAAGTCTAAATGTGAAATAATATTCTATTTTAAAACTTCATAGAACATTTTATCAAGGAAAAATAAGGATATAAAAGGTAAATTATATAATTCCAAAATATAAAGATCAATAAACTTATTTTGATAAAGTTATAAGAATAATTATATAACATTCGATGATCAAAAACACCAGAACGATTTAAATAAATCGATAAAATTTAACAATTATTTTGCATTATTGAAGATTTTTAAGGTAAGAATATAAAATAGGGTATTTTACTAAATTACACCGGCTCTTGCATTGTAAACATGGCGAAAAAATCTGTGACGTCATTGGAACTTAGAAAACTGATAGTCAAGTTACGTAATGAAGATAAACTCTCGATTTGGGAATATTTAATAGAGTGTTGGGAAATCTAAAAGTGTTATTCATAGTATTTTAAGTATTTTCTATATCAGTCTTCCGTGCAATAATTAGTTTATATTAGTTCATATTATATTAATATTAGTTCGCATGCAATTAGTAAGACCCCCTCCCATAGAGGAGAACATGACTAAAGACTGTGTGCACGCTATCCCGTGCACCTGCGGAAAGAAATATAAAGAGGAGACAGGTCGCCCCCTTAAGGTAAAGCTTCAAGAAAACCAGAAAGCTGTAACACGAGGGGAAGTGGAAAAATCAGGCATGGCTGATCACATATGGAGAGAAAAGGGAGATCACCGCCATCAGGTAGAAATCATAGACAAAGAATAAAGAAATCAGCATCTCCTGAGCCGACCAAGCATAGAAATGAATACAATATGGGAATCAGTAATAAGGAGTGCCAGAGAAAAGCGATAATAATCGTCGAAGGTATATTCGTGTTGGGCGGCCCCAAGCAAGGCTAAGACGCATAAGAAAAAATAACACTCGAATAAATTGAACAAAAGTAAATACTCTTTCTATATCAGTCCTCCGTACAATAATTAGTTTATATTAGTTTATATTATAATTATATTACTTCGCATGCAATTAATTATTAACCCAAACCGCATGTAAATCGGAAGTGATATTATCAATATTGACCTGGCAAAATCTGTTTTGCTGTCGTTGGTAAAGTTTGACACAAGGCTTTCGTCGGAGGCGTTCGTCGGCAGATAAACGCGTGAGCCTCTCCCCTGTCTCTGGTATCATCTGCCTCTCTTTTACTTTTCTACTTAATTCACTTCGCGCATTCGTATTTATGGACATTCGCCCAAAATGGCGTAGTGGGTATGGCGAGTGAATCCCCACTGGCTAATGTCAAAACTTTGGGGAATTCCCTCTCTCCGCCCTCTCATATTATTATCTCTCACTAAAACTCCTCAGTGAGCGTGGGTGACTTATCCACCCCCTCCTGGTATTCCACCTGAACTTCCAACCAGGAGAATAAACTCCAAAATGGTTGCTTACTAAAAAATGAAAATTTCGCTTTACAGCTTGCATTTGCAGCTGTTTGTCAATCAACATTGCCCTCCTAAGTCTGGGTCACTTTTCCATTGTTCAAACTGCTCGACATACGATTCAAGTCGATTATGTGTGAATTAAAATCCTCAAATCTTCTCACGGGTTTTTGGTATTAACCTTTCTCCTTTCAATGTCTCTCAGTATATAACATGTTAAAACTTTCTTCCGTTTTACCGCGGCAAAGACAAATAGTATCACATATAGACAGGATGAGATAGATAGATAGATAGATAGATAGATAGATAGATAGATAGATAAACAGACGGAAAAGATAGCTAGATAGATAGATAGATATGAGTAGGCATAGATATGAATAGTCGTAGATAAATAAATATGAATAGGCATAGATAGATAGATAGATAGATAGATAGATAGATAGATAGATAGATGACTATATAAATATGACTAGGCATAGATAGATATGAATAGTCATAGATATGAATATTCATAGATAGATAGATAGATAGATAGATAGATAGATGAGGATGGTTAAACTTGAAAATAAATAAGCAGATAAAGAAAAGAAAAAACATACAATAGATAGATAGAATAAGAACAGAAGGAGATAGATAGATAGATAGATAGATAGATAGATAGATAGATAGATATGAGTAGGCATAGATATGAATAGTCGTAGATACATAGATATGAATACACATAGATAGACAGATAGATGACTATATAAATATGACTAGGCATAGATATGAATAGTCGTAGATACATAGATATGAATACACATAGATAGATAGATAGATATGAGTAGGCATAGATATGAATAGTCGTAGATACATAGATATGAATACACATAGATAGATAGATAGATAGATAGATAGATAGATAGATAGATAGATATGGATAAGCATCGAAAGATAGGGGGAGACCTAGATAAATATGAGTAGGCATAGATAAATATCTATATATATATATATATATATATATATATATATATATATATATATATATATATATATATATATCTATATATATATATATATATATATATATATATATATATAGATATAGATACAGATAGATAGATAGATAGATAGATAGATAGATAGGTATACCGTTCACTCACGCCGGTTGCAAATATAGTATGGGTATAAAAATAATATCACAAGTATATTTTCAATCTTTTCAAATCCAGGATTAAGCGTAATTTATCCTACATAATATACCTCATTGATTCCCTCTATTTACGCCGTTCAACAAGCTAATTCAGTAACCATCTACCTTGAGTAGCTCTTGGGCATTGTATTGAGTGAATAATTATATAAAAATACTTCCACATAAACGTAATCAGACGCAGGACGAGACTGTTAGGTAATAACATCAGCTGTCGCAGCGCTAACGATAAACCAGGAGAGAACAGAACCCTGTTGTCAACGTTCCCGCCTTTTTCGGTGGATAGCCAATCAGCGAGGAAAGAGAAACATGAGAAGAGCTTTTCTGCTGTGTACAATGTGATTGGATAAATTATAAGATTCTACAGATACTTGTTCATGCATCATTGAGCCAATAGAAAGAGAATAAGAATTGAAATCAATTAAAGAAAATGGCTGTTATTCGGATGATATGGCTTCATCAAAAGATTGGCTTTTTTAGATAATCCAAAACCTCAATTCAAACTCGTGATATGGACATTAATATCATGCTAGTGTAGAATAACAATAATAATAAAGCACTTACCGGCGTAAGAGTTCCAACTAGCGTCCAGCTGGCAGACAAAAATAAAGCAGGTTGTAACTTAATACATATCCTGCAAACTGAGAAATCATGCTAGTATTTATATAGTAATACTTCCACTCAGGTACCAGCAGCCAATCATAGCCCAAGCAATGGACTATCCCACTTTAGCATAATGAGATGCTCCATTGCACCATAAATAGCTCTGTCTCTATGTTGAATTAGTGCTTCACTTAATTATTAAGCCATAAAAATGTAAGAATGTATATTTGCTCATTTGGGGCTTGTTGAGAAGAGACACGTGCGTCTGTTCTCGAAACAGCGTGAGAATCATTTAATCATTTAAAGTAAAAAAATGGTTTTCATTCGCATGATATGGCTCCCTCAAAACATTTTCTTTTTAAAATTCAATTTAAACTCGTGATATAAACATCAGTTTAATGCTAGGTAACTATTAGGCAGTGAAAAATAAGAACTTATTTTTTGGTTATTTAGAGCTTGCTCTGAAGAGACATGTGTGTCTGTTCTCGAAACAGCGTGAAAATCATTTAAACATTTAAAGAAAATGGTTTTCATTCGCATGATATAGCTCCATCAAAAGATTTTCTATTTAAAATTCAATTTAAACTCGTTATATAGACATCAGTTTAATGCTAGGTAACTATTAGACCAGGAAAATAAGAACTTTTTTTTGGTTATTTAGGGCTTGTACTGAAGAGACACGTGCATCTGTTCTCGAAACAGCGTGAAAATAATTTAAAGAAAATGGTTTTCATTCGCATGATATGGCTCCATCAAAAGATTTTCTATTTAAAATTCAATTTAAACTCGTGATATAGACATCAGTTTAATGCTAAGTAACTATTAGACCATGAAATTTAAGAACTAATTTTTGGTTATTTAGGGCTTGTACTGAAGAGACACGTGCATCTGTTCTCGAAACAGCGTGAAAATCATTTAAAGAAAATGGTTTTCATTCGCATAATATGGCTCTATCAAAAGGTTTTCTATTTAAAATTCAATTTAAACTCGTGATATAGACATCAGTTTAATGCTAGGTAACTATTAGACCATGAAAAATAAGAACTTATTTTTGGTTATTTAGGGCTTGCTCTGAAGAGACACGTGCGTCGCTTCTCGAAACAGCGTGAAAACCCTTACTGATACGGGATCGTGTATTGTCACGAAAAATTTCTGGCTCGTAGGAATTACGTTATTAAGTGTAAGACTAAAGCGAGAGTTTTAATTATTCTTGCAAGAATTACGTCTTCTGTGATACTGAACATGGCATGGAAAAACCCAAACTTATTCTGTTCCAATAACTTTCACAGAATAGGTAACTGATTCCTTGTGCTATCCGCTTCCTTAGTCGCAAGAATAAGCGACTCCGATGACACAATATAACATTTTTTTGCCATTTAATGATTAATCGTCTTGATGTTTATTTCCATTTTCGCCGGTTCTATTCTTTTGCGCCATGCTAGGCCTAATGTCGTAAACCACTCTCATTGCCTGTTTCCATTTGGCGGGGAGTAAGTTCCACACAAGGACGTCCTTTCCGCGAACCATTGCTCTGTGGAACCGACTCTCAAGATGGTGCTTTTCCTGATCATTACAGTTTTAACCTGTTAAAGTCTAAGGTTAACCGTTACCTTCCTCACTTATCCGCATCAACTGTGCCTCTTACTCTGTAACCGTCGACCTCGAGTGGCTCCCAGGCCTTGTACAGGCTGAACCTCAATCAAAAAACAAAAAAAAAAGAAAGAAAAGAGAAATGAACCTAGTTCATAAATGTAGTTCTCTCGTTCAAAAACAAAGGTAAGAGATTCATACTGTTATTAAAACCAAATGAATTTTCTACCTTCGTTTTTGAACCAGACAACCAGAAAGACGGAAATTTCCATCGTTCACAGTTAACAAAAAACACGGCAAATATAGACTGACGTGCCTGCAATAAGAAGTAGCGTCAAAAGGACGTTTTTTTCCTACATGACCGTTTTTTTTCTAACTACCTCTTCGGCGATGGTTTTTCTTTTAAAAAGCGATGATTAGAATTAGAATAAAGCCTAAACATTTTTATTCATAAAAACTTACTAAATTATTTTTATTCATAAACATTTACTAAATTATTAAAATATACGAACCAGCTATAAGTAAATCCGTATCATTTACCATTTTTATAAAATTGTAATCGATTAGCTGATGTTTTGTCAAATATTCAAATAAATAAATAGCGTTTATTATGTTTATTATTTACATTATTCGGACTATTGTCCTCATCTTTGTCGCCATGTTTATCACAACGTTTCGGCCGTTGTACGCTCCGGCCCTCTTCAGGTGGTTGGAATTTCGAACTGAACCCTTTATTTCACTCACTCGGGTAGACTGTTCTAGTTCCATGCCATGTTTGATGGATGTCAGTTATCAGTTATGTCCTGCTAATTTCCCTCTGAAAGTTCTCCCCTGCTTTAACCGGGTATTGAACTCACACTCTTTGCGTCCTGTCACTGGATCTAACCTACGCCTTTATCCACTGTGCCATGCGTCCTTGTGTTTATTATGTTTGTTGTCAATTATCAAAAAACAAAAGTGGTTGGAATGTCGAACTGAACCCTTTAAGGACACATGGCACAGTGGATAAAGGCGTTTGTTAGATCTAGTGAGAGGACCCAAAGAGTGTGAGTTCAATACCCGGTTAAGGCAGTGGAGAACTTTCAGAGGATATAACTGATAACTGACATCCATTAAACATGACACGTGGAACTAGAACAGTCTACTCCAGTGAGCGAAATAAAGGGTTAAGTTCGACATTTCAATCACCGAAACGTTGTAATAAATATGGCGACAAAGATGAGGACAATAGTCCGAATAATGTAAATAGTGTATATAAAAGTGAATTTATACGTTTTCTTTGTTCTTAATAATTGACAACAAAAATAATAAACACTATTTATTTATTAGACTATTTATTTGAATAGTTGACAAATTCTAAATCTACAGTATATTCGAATGACGTTTGTGTTAAGAATTGCAACATAGGATAGTGGTCAGGAACCCGCGACCCGCGACAGAAAATCGAGGCGTCGTGAAATTTTGATGCTGAAAGTATGAAATATGCTATTGGCTTTTTGTAATAATGTGTAGGTATTTAACCGCGCGCAGCCACGTCGTAACAGAATGTGACGTAAGGTCGAAGTTTAATGTGAGAAACCGTTCAAAAATTACCCAAGTCTACTTGACCTTTACCCTTTTGGGGACGCCTCAGACGACGGATAATGACCTTTAGTTTCCTTCCGAAGGAAAGTACTGTCTAGGTGTGTGTGTGTACTGTCCCCCCGGGCTTGAACTAACACTAATTTCAAACAACTTGTATATCATTTTCTATTAATATTCCCATTTAAAAAGGAAGAAATCTCTTTGTTTTTGAATCTAACGAATATATGAACGGGAATCAAACTATATATATATATATATATATATATATATATGAAGAAAAACATACGGAAAAAACAAACAAAAATCCTTATATACAATTATGCTGCTTTAATGTTTCGGTCTAATAAACCATCTTCAGGACATATTCATAAAATATAATTAACATTATCAATTCAACATGACAAAGACGATGTACATAAGAACAAGACTGATATTTATTCGTACAAAAAGTACAAATTGTGGCACGAGGCCAATAAAGGGGAGGGGTAGGGGCTGGTCAACACTAACTATCTTATACCTAGCTAATCAGATTCGCGACCCATTCGTACATTACATTTTACTCATTCACCAAAAGAACTCGTCCATCACCAAACAATTCTTCAACCACCATAATACCACGTGATCTCAAGGGAGACCTACCAAAATCGCGCCCCATGCCATAAAAATTTTAATGATGATATATATATATATACAATTCTAATAATGATAAAATGAGAGGGGAGGGAAATGAACCCAATAATAAACTTAAAATAAACACAAATACAAACTAAACATAATTGATGTTAGTAGGGACCGTCCAACGCATAAAACAGAGAGACCGCTGTATTCTGCCCAGGGGACAAAATCAAGAGACGCTCTCGCTAGGGGAGTTGGAAAAAGTATAAAATATTAGGCTGGAATGGGAAAATATAAAACTGACCCAGTCGAGATGAAAGGGGGGGGTCAAAACAAACTGGGGAGGTTGGGAATCTCGACTTGGATCATAAGGACAAGACTTATCCAAACAAATAACTGAAAGTTTTATAAGATCAGCGCTCCGTTTAAAACATGGTCACGTTGTCATCACGTGGGCGACGCTGTGAAAACGTATTCCTAAACTTTGAGTATTGTCTTTGTCATGTTGAATTGATAATGTTAATTATATTTTATGAATATGTCCTGAAGATGGTTTATTAGACCGAAACGTCCGACGTTGACATATTAACATTAAAACAGCATAATTGTTTATAAGGATTTTTGTTTGTTTTTTCCGTATATTTTTCTTCATACTGTCGGATCTATATCCATATATTTGCTTACATATATATATATATTAAGAAATGGACAAAGTCCGACAATTTATCTATTAAAGACATTTTTATGTTTAACGTTTCTCGGACATTCAGGCCGGTAAATGTTGTTTAATACTGTTTATTATAAACAGAGCATTTA